GTCGGAAATATTCCGAATAAATTCGAGTCGAAACAGTTCTGCTCGAAACAATTAGGCCGGTCCTCTGTTCAAGGCTGACTCCCCCACTCCTTCGTTTCGTCCCCACCGTAGCTGATTTCGACCCATCCCCCACTCCTTCCTTTCCTCCTTCCCCCACCACTGGCTGTAACTTTGAGCTCGAGGAATCGACATATTTCGCCGCTTACGATCTTATCGCCGCTTCTGGAGAGGTGGGGTACATCGCCATGTCATAGAATTTCCGTGGAACGTAGGATTAGGCGGGGAGAGTACTGATTCGAGTACGGAGGATCGACCTAATATCTTCGAGAAACGTTTAATCTTGTAATTAATCCACTAATCCACTCGACGCGAAGATTTTTCGTATTTGCAATTATAAAGGGGATTTAAATATTTTTTTTTTCCCCTCAAATGACGATTTAACTTCTCCAATGGATTAATTACTTTGGAATGAGAATAATTTTAAAGGATAAAATGTTATTATGTGAGCGAGATGAGAAACGAACAATTTCAGGCTCGAAGGAATATTCCGCACGAACGGAAGCTACGTTCTAGCATTTGGCATGGCTAACGCTTCCCGCCTCGCTTTCTTTTATTTCGTTTCACGCCTTCGTATCCAGCCCCGTCGCTCGCATTTCTTATCAACAGAGAAGCAGCACGGAGTGGAAAGGGCCGTTTTTACGTCCGTTTATAAGGAGTGACTCCGCGTCGAGGCAGCGCGCTTCCGGCCCATCTCCACCGGAAACTCCTTTTAACTTTGAAAACTTTATCGAAGAAATTCCATCCCATATATCTGTGCGTTTCCAACGGAAAGATCAATTGGAAATGGTCACAACTCGCTATCTTCCCCCCCTCCTCCCATTTCATACAAGAAACACTTCCAGCTTCCAAAGAGAGTATATAAATCATCTCGAGTTTCTGCGACTGGAAACTTTTATCGCGTACGAATTTACTCGTACAAATTTTATCCGCGATAAAACAAATAAGTTATACTCAAAATACAGTTCTCTTCTTTTTTTTTTAAATTTATCAGAATCTCGTTTCGATATTACAATTGATCGCAAATCAATAATTTCTAACGCCTCGTTTTCTAATTTTCAATCAAATCACGTATACACTTAAGAAATGGCTTAAGAGAGAAGAAGAAAGGAAAAAGAGGGGGGGGAAGAAAAATGGTAGGAAAGCAAGCGTTGCCTCGACGGAAGTGGTCTCCGGTGGCGGAAGGTGATAAGAATAGGCGGGGCCGCATGGAAGTGGCCGCGTTTCCGGCGTACACTCGTGCTCAACCCCGAAAGTACACGAATATCGCACTCCCGGGGTTTTATACCCCTGCCCTCCATCTCATTTTTCCGCCACCTTCCCCCCACGGTAAATTACATGTAAGCGGGGTGGATACTCGCCCCCCGCTATGTAATTGCGTCACTCCCCTGTGTGCGATTCAATTTTTCTCTCTCGGCCACCCTCCCCTCCCCTCCTCTTCCAAGAGGAAGAATCCTCCCCCTCGCTTCTCCCAGGTTTTTTCTCTCTCCCGTTTAACGCTATACGCTGTTTTCCGCGGTTTTTATTGAAAGGAATGGGGGCACCTGAAGATGGGGCCTGAAAGCTTTCAGGAATTCAGGCGAATGAATTTTGGATGGGATGGAAGATCTCGTAGGCCTCGTTGAGAAGCAAGGTTAAGGGGTGTTTCTCTTTCTCTCTCTCCCTTTTTTTTTTCTTTTTAATCAGAAGGGAGCTTCCAGAAGCTATTGTGTATTGACGAGTTGTTTAACTTGGTAATTGTTGATTGCGAGCAAGGGTAATTTAGAATAATCGGGGAGGGTATCTAGTTATTTTGAGGGTGTTGGGAGGATACTGTAATATCGAATAATTTGAGATAATTTTTCAGATTTATGAAATACGATGTTTCGTAGAAATGTATGTTATATAAAGCGTTCTACGATAGTATTATGTGATAATTCTACGATTCTGAACGTAGAAAAGGAGTTATATGTACGAGGAATATATTACTCACGAACTTTAACTAAAAATTAACTAAAGAAAATTAACTAAAAAAAGGAAACTTCGATGAAAAAAGAAGCTTTTACTGCGAACACGTACCGCAAAACGGACTACATGATAATTAAATAAAATAAATAGAACGAAAATGAAAAGAAGAAAAAAAAAAATCGCTGAAAACTGGCCCGGTCTTTCGATCCTGAATTTGTTAATAATACCATCTCTCAAAGATATTCGTTGTCTTCCTTTCCAAAAAAAAAAAAAAGGAAAACCGACACGCAATCGCACGCCGCTCTCAGCATGCAATTACTATACCGTTGTTGTTTCTTCTTCTTTTTTTCTTTTTCGTTATTTTTCTTTCGTTTTCTTTCCTTCTTTCTTTCTTTCTTCTTTTTTTGTTTTTTTTTTTTTTGTGAAACGTTGCAACGCTTCGCTGGCACGGAACGAAGCCGAGCTCTCGAGAGGAGCCATCATAAGGTAAAGAGGAACCATTGTTTTTTTTTTTTCTCCCTTTTGCCCTGGCACCGATACGTCGTCTTGAGAGCATCGGCAGAGTTGCTCGAATTAATATGATTGATCACGATTTGTCTCGCATGCAGAACACGATGCACTGTTTTAACATTATGAAAACATTATGATCCTGTTTAAAAAAAAAAAGATATCCTTTTCCTTATATATATTATATCTCTCTCTCTCTTTCTCTTGCTTTATACGTCCTTGTCCTTATCTCTTCTGCGACTTGTTTTTGCCAATTTCTTCTTCTTCTTCTTCTTCTGTCTTCCACGTTTCTTCTCAACGATTTGCATCCATCTTCTGTCTATTATATAGCTATATAATAGTTCTATGAAAATAGATTAATTGATAAAGATCGATCAGGATTGTTTCTTCTTTTTCTCTCTCTCTCTCTTCCTTTCTTGTTTCACGAATCTTTTCAAATGTGGATATACAGTGATTAGACCGCATGGACGATTCGATAGAATATCTTCTCATTTTTTTAAGCGATCCGATCGACGTCACGATGTGTCATCGAGTGGAATAAATAATAAACTTAATAGTTTATTATTTTTTAAGGGTACAATTTTAATTCGAGGTTTTTTTTTTAAATGTGTTCGTAAATATCGTTACGTCGATCTTATTGGTTATATATCTACTGGTTTAAAATCGAACGAATCGATATTGTTTCGATCATTCAGGGAATCCAATGATGTCGAAATTTCTTCGACACCGAAGGTTTCCCTTCTTTAGAACACTTCTTTCTCGATTTATCTCAATTCTTTTAACTTTTTTCTTCTTCTACGTTTCGATTCTACGATTCAATCTAGCGATCAAGATACGCTTGTATAAAATTGTATTTGATTACTTAACCCTTATATCGATATATATCCCTTCGAATAAATATAAAATTTCCCTCAAAGAATTTTCAAATTGTAGAAAAATCTATTTCAATTCCAAATTTAAAAAATATACGATATTAAAAATTTAGGATATTAACATCATCTTATTTAATTCAAAAATTCTTCCTTCTTCAAACGCTTTATAACATATATTATCAATTTATATTCCAAATTTAGAATTTCTCTACGAAAAAAAAAATATTAGAAAGATTAAATATTATTGATTTATTATTGATTTTAAAAAAAAATTATTCTTCATCCTTTGACAATTATATTTATATTTCAAAATTTTGCCATCGAAAAAAATTCGAATCGTAAAAATTAAAAAAAAAAAAAAACAATTATCCTTTCAATCAATTCNAAAAAAAAAAAAAAAAACAATTATCCTTTCAATCAATTCAAAAATTCTTTCTCCTTTTTTCTTCTTCTTCTTAAGAATTTCACTGTGTAACGTTTAATTCTGCATAGTCAACGAGCGCAAAAAAAAAGAAGGAAGAACGTAAGGATAGATGATTCCCATTCGTTCACCCCTCATTGTTTCCAAACTTCGCCTTCCAATCTCACCGCGACGTTTACTGCTCCTTAGAGCGCGTTTCCACGGGAACGATCTCTCTGATAGTTGGAATAATTCACCGCCCGAGGAAGCATCCAAACGAGAGCATCGTACTCGACGAGGTTACCTCCTCGATCAATTTTTCAACCGTAATTTCTTCCGGTTTTCTCCGCATTTTTTTGCCTCATCTTTCTTTAAACGAGACAAATGAAGAGATCCTCCACATGCGACGCTTTGCCCCAACACAATTCCATTCTCCATTCGAAATAACGTTATTTCTCTTATCGCATTCGTTTCATAATTTATTTCAGAATTATTTTGATGGGAACTCTCCATCCTTTAAAAAAAGACACGAGTTTATCTTGATCGCTGATACTTAGACTGTGGATTTCTTTTTTTTTTNTTTTTTTTTTTTTTTTACAATTAAATGAATATTAATTGAATTCGAAAATGTGTATTTATATGTACATGTTGATACATTATAACGTAACATTATTTCTTTTATTCTTTTTTGATAAATTGGTACTTATTTGAGAATATAATACAAAATTTTTGCATTTGTCAATATTATATCCTCGTTATTCTTCATTCACGAATGAACTCGTTATATGAGAAAAGAAAAATATTAAATCCACAGTCTATTAATAATAATCTTTTCTGCTCTTCAACTATCTATCTCTCTCTTTGTTTTTAATAGCATCACAGAATTTTTCTGTGACTTCTCTCTGTTTCTCTCTATTCTTCTTAAATCCCAATTATTCCCAAAGATCTCCCGAATCGATCGATTTCCACAAAAAAACACATCACCTCGTGCAACTGTGTGTGCTCTCGCTGTGATTTGTTCTCGCGAGAAAGAATAACCATTAACATCCAACAGCCTTCCAACAACTGGCCAACAATTAATCTCTTATCTATCTACTATTATTCTCTCTCTCTTTCTCTCTATTTCTCTTTATCTTTCTCTTTATGTTACTCTCAATCACTATCCGTTCAATCACCACAGTCAATGCCGATTTATTGAAACGCTCTGCGTGCTCCAGGTCGGAGCATCATCACGAAGAAGGGCGATGGCTCTCAGGTGAAGGAATCGACCGACAGCAGCACAACGATCGAGGACGATGACGTGAAAGGTAGGACCACCTAGAATCCTCTGTCTCTCACTCTCACCTTTAGAAAAAAAAAAAAAAAAAAAAAAAAAGAAAAATCTTCTATTCTAGCTCTCCCTCTTTTCGCGCGTTTTTTTTTTTCGTGCCCTCGATTCACAACTCTACCCCCCCTTCGACCCCTGAAATCTATGAGAGGACAATTCGGAGAATTTTGAATACCCCACCAATTTTTGTGTCGTCGTATTATCTTTCTAGGGCCTGGCTGTATCGAGAACGTGTGCCACGCGGATTTTTTTGCCCTTTCTCTCCCCTCTCTGTGACCCCCTTTCCCTTTTCCTCCTTTTTCTAGCGTCGAGTGTACGCTTGGAATCTGCTGCAGCTGATCGAACCAATTGGGATATGATTTTATTGCGCTTTGTTTTGTTTAAAAGGAACGGTTTGAGAACTGTTATCGATACTATGAGGAATAACTACTTCTAATAGTTTTTTTCTTAAACTTGAAAATTTTTATTCTTTCGCGTATAATTTGTATGTAATCGAATTGATAATGTCAAAAAGGTCTCACAGGATGTCTCAGTTGAAATTACCATTTTGATTTTTATTATTATTATTCGTTATTATTATTCGCAGTGAGAAACCTTTGGATGGAAGTTGAATTATGCATACTCTGATATTATTAGTTTTTTTTTTTTTTGCGCGCATCGAAAGGTCAAATGAATCTTTTTTTTTTTTATAGAAAATGTCAAGTTACATAAATAATGCATCAGAAAACATAATTTCATTTGTAAAAACAAACAACATTGATCTTTGTAAATCCTCTACGCGTTCATCCTCAAGAAAGCTAATAACATCTCTTGAAACCATTCAATTTCCATCCAAATATTTCTGTGCGAATAATAATAATGACAAAAATCAATTTCCAATAATAAAACTTTATATATTTATACACACGACAAAATTCGAAATAAATTCAAACTATAATAATAAATCCTGGATAAAATTTTCCTAGAAAATTTCGCAAGAATTGTCAAAAATGCTGTTCCAAATTTCTTGTGGATTGACTATCGCGCATTGAATTATCGTACAGAACACCGAAAGAATCGATACCAGCCTGTGTCACGGTTGAACAAGCTTCGAGATCTGTTCAAACTCGAACTTGGGTATCAGAAATTGGCGATGCCGATTCGTCTCGGCCCTCTCCAACTTTCCACCAACGTTCCAAGTTCCCACTTTCACGAGGGTGGACGACGATGAAACGGTTCGATCGGTCGGCTCACTGTTCCGCGCGTACACGCGGCCAACCGCTCGAGCCTTTTGAGCTCGTTAATTGTTCGAGCCAGCGAACCGGGACAGTTAATTCTCCCAGCGAGATTCCGCTAATGGATCGAATCTGAATTTACCGTTCTACCCGCGCTCGAAGCGCGGCTGTAACTGGATTTCTCGCTACCGGCCCGGATCCGAAATACCCTTCCCCGTACTACCGAAGGGTAATTTACGCGAATTTACTGAATTTACATTTTGCTTTTCGATGGCATCGTAAATTTTAAACGGCGGTCCATTTTGTGAAAATTTTTTCTCGAAGGGGTTGAAAAATGTGGAAGGAAAAACGTTTTAACGAGTTAATCGAACTAATTGATGATTTGAATCCTCACAGATTGAGATTGGAAACCGATGAGGATTCGAGAAATCGGTCACGTCACCTTCTGGATATAGTGTTGTGCATAGAATACTAAGGTTTTCGTTTGATTTTAATTGAAAAAATGGAGTGCAGTTCGTAAATGGAGGAGGTATAAGTAGTATCTCTTTGGAAAGTTACGATTAAAAGAGAATCTTCTCTTTTCGTCCCTTTGGAACCATGTAACGAAATCACGAGCAGGCACTTGCGCGCGCATATCGGCCTATTATTAGAGAGATAGTTACTCCTGTTCACGTGCAAATCGATCGTTGGACAATAGCTCGAGTAGTTAAGTATCCCCCTCGCTTTAACCTCGCTCTCCCCCCTTTTCAATAGCCTTCTCCAGCTACGATCCCATCTTATATTTACGTATACTCATGTCTTGATTACCGATATATGTGTACATATACGCATATGTCGGTAAACTTGTCGCTTAGGTTCGTCAATTGCGCGACAATCTTTAGTAGATTATCATTAACGATCTTCTTTTATTTGCTCTTTTAAATGAATCTTTTCGCCATATATTATCTTTTAAGAGATTATAGAATTTATGATATATTTAAATTGAAATCATATATAATTAGTTTGTAAATTATTGTATTATATATAGTGATATTATATGCATAATTTTCAAGTTTAGTTTTACTATGATAGTTGTAATAAAAGCGACGATCGAATGAACCTTTATAGCACAGGTGTTTAAAGGTAGAAGAGCTTTTTGTTCGTCTTTGCCCATTAAATTTTTTAGTGAAACTATCCCTATAATTAATCTTTTCCATGAAACTATTTCTCTTCTCTTCGCCTTTTTGTAGACGTATAATATACATTGCGTATTACTATACTATAACTATATACTATTTACTATACTATTTTCGACCCGCTCTATCGAGGATTTCCCCCCCCCTTTTTCATGGCGTGTATTATATTCGTGTATCGTATCTTTCCATGAGATCGTTTTCTTGTAATTTTCAGGAAATTAGTATAGTCGTTTTTATTCTACGTTGCGATAAAGATATAGAGTATTTTGTTCTTTTAGTTGAGAAATTTATTCTAATTATAATTGTTATTTTTTTACTTCTTTTTATTACTATATAAAACGATATAAATTTAATTACACGTAATTACTTCTTTTTATAGTTACTTTAATTTTTATAGTAATATTTATTTACTTTATTATTGAATCTAAATATTTATTTATATATTTAACTATTATACAACTATTTCTATGTAATATTCTACTACTTTATATAGTAAGAACTCTATTTATATTATTTTCTTAAAGATATAGAAGGGGACAATTTGATTTAATAATTCAAATTTTGAATTTAATTAAAACTTTTTATCGAAACATCATGATAATTATAATTATATAATATTATTTAAATTGAAATATCATTTATAAACACACTATTTCCAATATAATAGCCAAAGAATCGAGAAAAACGAAGAATAAATTTTTTCGAAGAAACCAAGATTCGAACCTGGATCAACTCTAATGAAAAGCGAACGCTCTATCCCCATCGCCACAAAACTCTCAACTTCTATTATGCTTATTTTACGTATATTTATTGCTCAGGTTTATTATCAAGTTTTTAAAGATCAAGTACTTACTTTCTTTATCGCAACGTGATCGTATTCGACTATATTTATTTCTTCATTCAAGCCACGTGAACATATACACATAATGTATATGTAAATATATGTATATAGTAAAATCTTTAACTATATATGTAATAACTATCTTTCGTCGTCTCTATCTATCAGCGGCTCTATCTACTTACTATTTATTTAATAGAAACATATACTATCGAGAATATTACTCGAAAATGTACATATACAGTTTGTATCCCTATCAATTTGAATTCTTGTCATTTTCATTATCGTACACCATCAAAACCAGCTCTGATAAAGCTGAACCTGATTAACTTTTATGGCCTGTTCTTTCGCGTTTTCTCGTCGATTACGATCAGAACACACGCACACACGATCATATCGATCATGGTAGATCTCTTAAACCATTCATTCGAGAAACAATACTCGAAATTATGGGAAAATTTTAATTTCGACGATGGATGAACGCTTTCAAAAACTTGTCAAAAGATTGAAACGAGTTTTATTGGAGCTCATAGATTGAAATTTGGAGAATTTTAAGATTTTGAAAAATTGTTTTAATCGTAACATCCATCGTCTTTACGCGATTAAAATTTATTGTTCTTTTATTCGATGTGTTTCCGGAAGTTGTTTCCCTCCTCGGTCAGCTTTGAATTCACCTCTTTTCTTTGCGGTATATTTGGAGGAACTGGAAGCGTTTCGCATACATTGCCGGAGCAGTATCATTACAGACCTTTCTACAGGATTGTACTTTCGCGAGAGTGCAATTCGTAATTCTTTCTTTAGAAAGAAATCTCCCTGACTCTTCTCTCCATTATTGTCTCTAATTTTTCAACTTGCTTCTCACGATATATCATTGAATCGAAAAATAATTATATTATCAATTAATTAAAAAAAAATCTTGCTATTTCAACTTTTTACGTATAGATATTATCATAGTTATGTAAAAGTTGACTTCTCAATGCTGATCAATATCAAATGAAAGTAAGAAACAATGATTTTATCTAACGAATGAGAACGCGAAAGTGCAATCCTTGATCCTTGGCGTGCATGCAACTAAGTTTCTCCTTTGTACACCGAAAACACCGATAAACAATGGATTTCATTCGCTTTCAAGATTCAGACACTTTATCACTGAGTGGATTGATTCTCGAGCCAGACACGAATACACTCGAGCACAAAACGGCAATATTACAGAGCACACAAACAATTGGATTCAAATATAGAATTCTCGATATTTTATTCGCGTTTCCTTCGATGCAAATCAAAAATTTGGAGATATCGAATCCATTGATTACGTATTTTTCATCGTGGATTCATATCCTTCCAAATTCTTTTTTTTTTTATCCGTAAATTGTCACATCTATCACGATTTATATATTTTTTTCAATTTTCTCTCTCATTTTTATCCGTGACTTCATTCTTAGAGGAGAATCAAGTGATTAAACAGTACAAGTAGATCATTTCTAGATGGCCAAAATTTAGCGACACGAAAATAGATCAATCTGTAGCTAATGTAAGTTTATCCTCCGACATCGTTCAATCGCCATTTCCATACAGCAAGCGACTCGCTTTTGATATGTCACACATAGATCACACGAGATTCACTAGTTACATTCGATATCCTTTGAGGCTTTCAGAAGTAGCTTAAGTATCTTATAACGATCACAGAGTTGTTTCAAACAGAGAACGCTTGTGGAGGCCTCGAATATCGAATTTCATTTCATAAGTCTTCGTT